TTAGGAGGCGTCTCGCCCTCAAAGAAATACTCGGCAAATGATGCTACAAATACACCGCAATAACTGCAAAAATAAAAAGAACAACAATTATCAAACTGCAGAATCTAAAAATAAAACAGATTGTTTTGAAAGAAATACATACGCTTCGACTTGTTGAGGCAGTCCTTCAACCAGTTTTACATCAAAAGGGGTAATCAAGTCCTTTGATTTGTAGACACCAGTGCGCCAATTGATATCTTTTTTATTTAAATAGAAATGCTTGTGCACGAAAAAATGAGGCAGCAAAATAGAATACTTAGCCACGGTCTTATGAACTTTGGCTTGATGAGCAGCTCCACCGCGCATAGAGTCATACATATAAATGCACCTATCCTTGAAGGACATCACAGCCATTATCCAATGCCATTGTTCTGCAACATTAATTGGCATTAAGACGTACTCGACAGTGTGCCATGGAACATTGGCATCCAAGACAAACACCTGAATATACTCTGCAATGACATGTTCCGGATTGCACACATCACTGTCTCCATTTGTAGCAATAAATGCCTGCCGCAACTCATTAAGTTTCTCGTCGAAGTACCAATCTGTGGTGAATGTTACAGGTAGGTCTTTGTCAAACTTCCCCTTCTTCCTCAGATAATAGAACAAAACATCAATGTGCTTAAACAAAACATAACATATAACTAATCACTGAAGGCTCGTAAGCTTTAAGCAGTTACGGTTTTTCAAACCAAAATCACAGAAAACAAAGAAAAATGAATGCTACATACTACCTCTTGTGCCAGGCAATAGCAATTAATAATCTGTTCTAACTTAAGATGATTGAGTGTTCATGTGTACACTAGCTAAATTTTTTTTAAAAACTGTAAAAGTAACTTCTTACATACCGAGTCATCCAAGGGCTGACCATTATATGCCAAAACGTAAACCCATTTTTTATCTTCAACATGATATACACCAAGATCATAAGCAGGATTGAGTTCACTAACATGCTTCGGGCAAATTTCATTCCTGGTAACATATATACACAAAAGAGATACAGTGATTTGATATAAAATAATGCTATAAGTGACAATATATTAAAATATAAAACTGAACAAAACTCAGAAGTCGGAAACATACTTCTTTCTGGACGTCCCTTCTTTGACCCACACATCAAATACGTTCAACAAATAGTTGTTAACGCCAATTCCGATTTTTCTTTGAAAAGGATGCTTAACAACATAAATTTGCTTTTTTTCTTTCGCTGCAACAATACCAGTACTGGAACCTGAATAAAATACAGTAATGAACGGAGACTGCACCGCCTTTGCAGGACATCTCTTCCTTTTTTCCATTTGCGGCGATACTTCAGGAAGTAATTCAGGCTGGTACAGAACAATCTGAGATTCAGCAACCTCTTTCTCAGATTGTTCCTTCATGTCCCCTGCCACCTCATCAACACTTGTAGTCGCACAAACAACGCCAGTCTGAGATTCGGAAACCTTTTGTTTCTCAGATTCTTCCTCCGTCTCCCCTGCTGCCTTATCTGTAGTCTCACCAATACCGCCAACATGCGCTACATCTGGTGTGAAAGTTACTTTAGCAACAAATATGTTAACTTTCACACCAGAAGGTCCTTCCATGATATTGACACCTAACTGATCTGCTGTATCGAGCACAATGTTGTTACGATGATACTCACTAGTATCTCCTAGAGAATGTGGAACATCTTTGCCTTCACTTCCACCGACCTATTTTTTTTTTAAAAAAAAAAAGAATCGAATTATCAAAAACAACAAAGAAATAAAAAGGGAAAAGTTCAGAATGCACAACTAAACACACCTTACAACCATCCATTTCAACATCTTCATTGCCACCAAATTCCATATTGCTCACAAAATCATTATTGTCTTGATGACCACTGGTGTCTTCCTCTGGATGTGTATCATATTTGACTTCGCTTGCACCAAGCTATTTTTAGAAAAAGGATACAGTAATTTAACTAAAAAATAAAAAGAAATGCACAATGGAAAAGAAACACATACCTTGGAATTTATCAACTCAAAGACTTCCTTGAATTTTGTCAGAAACATATTCCATGAAAAAATTTAACTGCTTATGGAGCTACAAGATGAAACAAATAAGAAAGATAATAGACTTTGAATATACAATTTTAATAATACTTCCAAAAAAATATATAAAAAAGAACAATACAAACTTGTTTCACATCAGCTTTCAACTTCTGCAACTCACGGTCATAATCAACAGGTTGGACACCTGACGCCTTTTTTGGTGGGACAGGCTCCTTAATCTGTTTCGGGGGTGGCGTGACAAAATCATCGCTACCATCAATAGGAAGTTTTTCCTGCTACGTGATGTCAAATACTTTTGATACTCATAGGTAACTTCAACAGGCAAAGTAAATCTCCTTAGCTCTTCAATTGTCGGAGAAATATTTTTAAACTGCAAATGTAACCAAAAGTGCTTCGGTCCTAGATGTATCAAAGATGTATAAAAACTGTATCTTTGATGTATTAATGTATTATATATGTATATCCCATCAAGAAATAAAAGCTGATACCTTATTCCCTGTGTTGTGAAGAAACTAGTAGAGAAGTACTCACGCCTTGGCCTGTCTGTCATTCCCAATTCAATATGCGTGGTGTATGATCTTCAACGCGAAAAACAAACTTTTGATCAACTACAATGCAACATTCATAGAACCACACTTGCAGTGCAAGAGGAAATCCACCAATCCTATAAAACTCAGACTTTCCTCTCAGCATGTCCCTCACCGACTTCATTAAAGCTCGAAACGCAATCTTACCCCAGGGAAACGATACATACTCACCACTCTCGACAAGATGGAAATCACGTTTACTTATAAATGTCTTCTGAGCCTGAGTGGACATTAGGAATGTGTTTATGAAATAAATGATTGCAATCTTAACTACGTCTTCATCATACTGCCATTTCTTCTTCTCAAAACAATCAATAAGCGACTTCTTTGACACCACTTCAAAACCAGAAAAATAAGTATCCACCAACCTATTGGGTCCACTGAATTTACCCTCAAGATGTTCATTACCACAACAGTTTAAACCACTTAAAACACCAAATTCTCGAGGACCAAAACGTAAAACACATTCGTCATTCAATTTCACATAAAATTGATCACACTTATCTTGAACCAACTCCCTAAACATTAAAGAACGAATAAGTTGTACCTGGATAGCAACTCGAGGTAAATCAAGGAAATAGCCAAAACAGCTTTGCCTAAACATCCGAAGCTGGACATCAGTCAACTTTGACTATAAAACCGATACGATGTCCACATTAGTGTATGATGACCAATGAGTAACAGGAAAATGCTCACCAGCTGGAATATAGAGCTTCCAAGGCTACAAATACATGACACGAATTAAAAACAAACAAATACAAACTAAATCCAATTTTAAAAGAAGATTCAACAATAGAAAAAATTATAACTGAAATTGTATGTACCTTACAAACTTTGTCATGAATTTTAACTTTTTCTGCCTTCTGAATCTTACTTTTTTTGGTTGACACCCAAATTCACTTCGTCCTCCACAACACGTTTTCTTTTACCTTGATCATCATCCACTCTAACCCTTTTGTTCTTCTTTTTCTCAGATTTGTCCAACAACATCCTTTCGAGACTCTAACACTTTAACACTGTCGAAACGATTTTGTTTATTCGCATATTTCGTTCATCAATCGATTTCTCAACTAAAACCGGGGTTGAATGAGGAGATAAACTCATCGACCTAGTTTCTCTTCTCATGTTGCTCGATTTCTCAATTGAAACTGACTTTGAATAAGGTGATGAACTAATCGAACGAGTTTGTCTTCTCATATTGCTCTGTTTCACAGTTGAAACTAGGTTCAATGAGAAAAAAATTTAAAAAAAATATACGAACAAACAGTTACAGAAATTTGAAGAAATTGATACGACTCGACCAAAACTGACAAAATCGTCTATAACAGGTTCATATGATGAACTCTAACTAAACAATTCAGTCGCAAAAGCCTAAAGAAAAGCAACATCGCTTCTACAAAAACACATGCAATCCGAAAAATATACAAAACAAGAGGTTTTCTACCTAGAATCAGACGAAAATAACCGCAAATGTATTTTGTTTTGTCGTCAATTTCAGCAATTTTGGTTCAATTTAGGAAAAAATCGTAGAAAGAGAGGGAGAGAGAGTGAGAGATAGAGAGAGAAAGAGAGTGAAAACTCGGTGTTTGTATACAAAAAATAACGGATACAAAAACTGACATTAATTAAAACTATTTGGGCCAAAAATGATATTTGGGCCTTTTTTAGTAGATATTTTGTTTTGGGCTATTTTTGGTTGGGAAAGTTTGTAAAGTGACAGTTTGGATAATTTTCCCTATAATTTATACGAGTAATTTGTCTATAACCAAGGGATAAAAGGAGATATTCCATAGAGATGTAAAGACCAGTCATCTTTTAATACAGGTTTAACGTCTGAAACAAATTAATACAAACTTATTTGAAGTTATCTTTAGGTCTTGTTATTTACGTGAGTTGGACTCCTCAATTTAAAGAGAATCTGTTATGGTATGTTAATCTTTAGTTGCCATGTATTGTTAATCAATTAATCCTACTATGATTTGTACAATTTGTTATAAATATTGCATATTTTTTTCCCTAAAAAAGAAGCCAAAATTTGGATGAGTTGCCTCAGTAATTTTATTTTCCAACTTTTCTTCTAGCAGTATCAAACGACAGGACAGAATGAGCTTGAGTAGAATAATTCATTAATATTTCGTTCTGTCTTTCTTGGAACTAAACGTAACGTTACAGATTGAACTGCACAAACAGTTATAAGTTTTATAGTAGTGCCAAGATCAAGGCAGCAATCATTTAATTGTATATACGCAAGAGTTTAGTTTTATTGTCTGTCAAAATTTATACGCTTTTATTAAAATACAGATTCCCTTTAAGATTTGCATACAATAGAAAAACATAAACAAAGAGCACATCTACTCTATGATAAAATCAAATAAGTTCACATTTCCTGAACTCTCAATACTCCCTGAGAATCACCAAATTATCCAATCGAATAACCACGTTCCAAAGCATCTCTGAGATTAATTTGATCGATTAATTGATCGTAAAATACATAGACACAAAACTCCTGCAGAAAAATGATGAAACTGCTAAAACCTTGGCTCAGAAACCTGGCATCCTATATTTCAAGCTATTCTGAACTCTACTTCACATATTCTTCAACACGTCGTACTGCCAAAAAAATTGAAAGACACAAGAAAATAACTTTGGCAGGTGTTTTCCATATAGGTACCTCAAGGTTCCAAAATTGGGAAACAATGATAAACAAGATAGGGGGGGTCAAAGCCTAACTCCCGAAATCACAACGCGTATTTCACTTCTAAAAAATGATATGGCGAAGTAATGGTATGGAACATTACTTTATGTGCCAAAGCTACGGTCTCCAGCATCTCCTAATCCGGGGATAATAAACCTGAAATTTTATCAATCAGAAAACAGTAATGACCTGATGAAATTCTGCTATTTAGAGAAGTGATTAAGGTAAAAGGTTGTTTGACGATTGGTTACCCTTTGTCGTTAACAGTTGGATCAAGTATTCCAGCATATACGTGTAATCTGAAAAATCAAGAAACAAGAAATCAGGATATCGACTGAAACACATCAAATACATAAAATACGTAAAAGCTTTTTAGTTATTGAACTTGTTACCCTGGAAATTTCTCACTGAGCTTTTGGAGAGCAGGAGGAGCACCAACTGCACATATCTGAATGATACAGTTCGTGTAATCAGCAAGTTGACGAGACAAATATAATTGAGACATCAAACTAACAATCATTGAAGAAATGTTCATTCAGGGTATTTCCAGTTTTGGTAAGCATCGACTATTGAACCGACCTAAACTCCATATAGAACCCCCATTTTTTACACATTGCAAGATGAGGTTTTCTGGAAATGCGTAGCAAAATCTAGAACTGTTTGACAGACCAAAGAGAAATGTAGTCACAACTGTATTTAAACATGCAGGTTTTGCTGCAAAAATATCAGTCTCAATTTCTAACGCACCATTGACAATCACATCATTTGTACCATAATTTTCTTTGATCCTCTTCCCGTAACAAAGAAAATAGGGTGGAAGTTTCAAATACCAGTATATATATTTGTGTCTGCATGCACGTGTTTCTTAAGGTCCTTACTATCCAACAGAATATTCTTCAAATATCACGTCAAAATTAAACAGGAAACAGGAAATTTAGTACCCTTCACAGCATGTCAACAATAGCAAGCAAATATTTTAGCAAATAAACGTATATATAAGGTGGGAACTTACAACTTTAATCTGACTATTGTCAACCCCACGCTCCTTTATAAGGTCGATGGCTGCAACTATTGTACCACCTAGAAATATGAAGAAAATCTATTCAGACGAGAAAACAAATCAAGTGACAATATCCTTTAAAAGCATAAAACTGAAGGATTTATAGCTACTACGACAAGAATACACATGTTTGTCAGTACATACTATGAGACACACATCCAACTACAAAAAACTGATATAAAGGAAACGACAAATGTTTGCCACTAAAAGGTACACCAACCTGTCTGGTATCAATTAATAAGGACTCCTTGGTGAAGATATCCCGGGATGTACTTCCTTCACAAGACTCGCAAAGAAGGCACATAGCCATGAATACTTGCAAAGATAAAGGTTGTTACAACCCCAATGGACCTTAGTTACTAGCTCTTATTAGAGAACCTAGACTCCAACTCCTAACTAGAAAAGGAGAGGGAAATTGGTTATGGTGTATCACTTCAGCACAACTATTTAAGCATGTCTGTTATAAGAAATACGTGCTCCTTTACTCCAAAAAATGGCTAAGAACGAAGCGAAGTTAGCGGTTACGGCGGCTAAGACTGCAGCATTTTAATGCTTGTATGAAGAACTTGGAGGCAAAAGAGGGGATAAGAGGCTGTAGAGAAAGGAAGGCCCGTAACCTGGACCAAGTGAAGTGCATCAAAGACGAGAAAGGCAGAGTTTTGTTGGATGAGGCACTTATTCGACGAAGATGGCAGACTTACTTTCATAAATTCTTCAACGAAGATGGGGATAGGAACATTGTGTTGGGTGACCTGGAACACTCCGTGAGTCGTTGAGACTTGGGGTATTGTAGGCACATAAAAGTTGAGGAGGAAAACGTGTAAGATGAGTAGGGGAAGAGCAACTGGGCCAGACGAAATTCCGGTGGAATTCTGGAAAGTGTGGGTAGGGCGGGCTTGGAGCGGCTCACTGGGTTATTTAATGTCATTTTAGGATGAAGAAGATGCCCGGAGAAAAGAGATGGAATACGATGATCCCGTTGTATAAGAACAAGGGTGATATCTAAAATTGCAAAGCCTATCGGGGTATCAAGCTACTAAGCCATACTATGAAAGTCTGAGAGAGGATGGTGGAACTGAGGGCGAGGATTATGTCTATTTTCGAGAACCAGTTCGGATTATTGCCGGGATGTTCTACAGAAGCTATTCACCTTGTTAGGAGAATGATGGAGCAGTATCTATACTATATTAAAAGCACGAAGGCCCTTAGCGAAACGTCGTTCGCATTTTTTACCCTTTAAAAACATATTTCATACTAGACTAAATAGTCATTTAATTACTTTCCTAATATTTGGAAATAATTATTTAAGTATTTTCCTAATATTTAGGACTTCAAAATCAACTAAATATTATGTACTATTGAATCCTTCATTGTTTAAACTTGGTAAGACAATATATTTGTAAAAGAAAACTAACACCCAATTAAATGAAAGGAGGAAAGTTTCGTTCCCTTAAAACACTTTTTAATGTCGTATAATTTTAGTAAAATAAAGTTAATTGAAAGAGAATAAATTTAAAACTACAAATAAAGTCTTTTGCACATAGCCCTTTTAGGTTTAGGAATTCTTATTTTATTGTGATAGAATTATAAAATAGCGCTATTTTAGCATGAATATTTCAAAGGATATTCACAATCCACCGTACAACAAGTAACTTTAAAAAATAATTAAAGGTTAAAAGTTCCCCTTTTCAACTTAAATTGTAGACGTACATTTGAAATTTATTAGTAAAATTTAAGTCTAATTTTTAGTCTACAAATATTGAAGTGTACATCGTAAATGAAACCTATAGTTTTACCTACCACTAAGTTTACAAAATATCTTCTTTACAAATACCTAGAAATAATTATGAACTAAAATAATCGATATCTATATGTATATCTATCTATAGTACAATATTAAAATCATAAATCCACTTACGGAAATGTCATTCGTCATTTTTGCCTTCTAAAAAAGATCTCATACTAGACAAAACTATCATTTACCTAATTTTACTAATATTTAGGACTTTGAAATCAAATGAAACGTTATTTATTAAAACTTTTCATATTTAAATTATTATGTAGGACGCCCTAATAATTAGGACATTAAGATCAACTAAATTTCTTCCTTGTATAAATTGAAGTTCTAATTTAGGTCCAAATATATGAACTAACTTATGTTGAAATACTTTTAGAACCTCAAAATTTTTAATATCTCAAACATGTAATCAATTAAAAAATTTCTAATCTCAAAGCATTATAATTCATAGTTTGTCCCTTTTAACATTTAGCGAAATATTGTTCGCCTTTTTTACTCTTGAAAATAAAACTTGCACTAAATAAAATAATTAATTAATTATTCTTTTAAGATTTAAGATTTTAAAAGTAACTACAATTCGAGTTATTAAAGTTTTCCTTATTAGAAGTTGGTAATATACCGTATTAGTAAAAGGAAAATAGTAAGGCGTTAGTTTTCCTTAATACAATAAATCACGTTAGTTTTATTGTTAGAAAACTTTGGAGCACTTTGAGCTCCTTTTAGGTAGAGCCGTCAAAATGGGCTTGGACCGTTGGGCCGCTAGCCCAGCCTCAGTTAAGCCTCATAGGCCACGGGCTTACTTAGGCCGGGCTTAAAAGCCTCATTTTTGAATGGGCTCCAAAATTTCTAGCCCGGCCCTGCTAAATCACATGCTAATTGAATGGGTATTTAAAATACGTATTTAAATAAAAATACGTATTTAAAATATATAACATATAAAAAGTATATGACACAAAAAATAACAAAAAGAGTATCCCAAGCTTAAAGCTTATTAAGCTCATCATGTTAAAAGATCAAAGTCTTAAAACGTTAAAATTTAATTATTCTCAATATTTAACTAATTAATATTGCATACATATTGTAGATGTAGAAGAAAGTGAAGATGTTAAGACAACCTTCTCATAAGCGGATTCAAATGTGTTCGATGAAGATAATGATGTGTTAGATATCCCATAAGCGTCATGGGCGTTCTCTTGAATAGTTTGTTTTGAGTTTTGGCTTTTAGTGAATGAAATATAGTCTTGTCTTTTACTTTTTTAGTGTTTATTGTGATATATTAGAACAATATAAAAAGTTATTAAGTTTTGTAAAAAAAAATTCAATAAGATTTTTTTAACTTTTAAATGTTTATCTTTTCTTAGTTTAAAAATTAAAGAAAAAAAATATAAAATTATATTTTAAAAAATGATGAGCCGGCCCGTGGGGCCCGTGACCCACATAGGGCTGGGGTGGGCTGATCATTATAAGGCCCATCAAATTGGTGGGCTAACCCAGCCCAGCTCGTCAATTGCTAAAGCCCGCGTGGGCTGGGCGGCCCCGCCCATATTGACAACTCTACTTTTAGGTTTGAAGTTTTTTTGTTCACTAAATTTTAATTTATTAATTATTTAAAAATATTTTAGATAAAAATTTCAACCACTTTCAACTCCAAATTATCATTTAAGTGTAGTATATTTACAAATTTATATATTAATATCAAATATAGGTTCAAAAGAAAAACTTGAACTAAAAATAAGGATCGAGCATATTAGAAAATTTAATTTCCTAATTAAAACACTAACGGCACTATATACAGTGGAGGTCGAGTACAGTGGTACCGTTGTACAAGAACAAAGGTGATATCCAGTGTTGTAACAATTATAGGGGTATCAAGTTACTTAGCCATACCATGAAAGTCTGGGAGAGGGTGGTGGAGGTGAGGGTGAGGAAGACGACGTCTGTTTCCGACAATCAGTTTGGGTTCATGCCGGATCGCTCCACTACGGAAGCTATCCAACTTATTAGGAGATTGGTGGAACAGTACAGGGATAAGAAGAAGGATCTGCACATGGTGTTTATTGACTTGGAGAAAGCGTACAACCAGGTTCCTAGGGAGGTGCTCTGGAGATGTCTTGAGGTGAAGGGCGTGCCGGTAGCCTACATAAGAGCAATCAAGACATGTATGATGGAGCTAAGACCAAGGTTAGGACTGTGGGAGGCGACTCGGAGCATTTTCCGGTTGTTATGGGATTATACCAAGGTTCTGCGCTTAGCCCGTTCCTATTCGCCTTGGTGATGGACGCTTTGACACACCATATTCAAGGGGATGTGCCATGGTGTATGTTATTTGCTGATGACATAGTTCTAATTGATGAGACGAGGGCCGATGTTAACGAGAGATTGGAGGTTTGGAGACAGACCCTCGAGTCTAAGGGTTTCAAGTTGAGCAGGTCTAAGACAGAGTACCTGGAGTGCAAGTTTAGCGCTGAGTCGAGGGAAGTAGGCAGGGACGTGAGTCTTAGGTCACAGGTCATCCCGAAGAAAGATAGCTTCAAGTACCTTGGGTCGATGATTCAGGGGGACGGAGAGATCGACGAGGACGTCAAGGACGTCACTCACCGTATAGGGGCGGGCTGGATGAAATGGAGGCTTGCATCTGGAGTTCTGTGTGACAAGAAAGTGCCACTGCCACTCAAAGGTAAGTTCTATAGAGCTGTGGTTAGACCGGCCATGTTGTATGGAGCAGAGTGTTGGCCGGTTAAGAACTCCCATATCCAGAGGATGAAGGTAGCAGAAATGAGGATGCTGAGGTGGATGTGCGGGCACACTAGGATAGACAAGATTAGGAATGAAGATATTCGGAGGAAGGTGGGTGTGGCCCCTGTGGATGACAAGATGCGGGAAGCAAGGCTCAGATGGTTCGGGCACATGCAGAGGAGAAGCCTTGATGCGCCGGTAAGGAGGTGTGAGCGGTTGGCAGTGGTGGGTACGAAAAGAGGTAGAGGGAGGCCTAAGAGGTATTAGGGGGAGGTGATCAGGCAGGACATCGTACGTCTGCGGATTTCCGAGGACATGGCCCTTGATAGGAAGGTCTGGAGGTCCAGCATTAGGGTTGTAGGTTAGGGGGTAGTAGCACTTTCCTTACTTCGTTCCGGGGGCGAGACGGGGTTGGATTAGGGTTGATCTTAGATAACTTGCAGTTTAGGCTGAATACACTCTGTACTTGCTGTTTATCTTAGCCCTGGGCCTTAGATACTGGTTACTGTTATTGCATGTCTTTCATCTTTTGGTTGTTATGCTTCCATTACTATTACGGTTGCTACTGGAGTTACTAATGAGTTGTCTTTTCTTGTTTTCTTTTTTATTTTCATTTTTCTGAGCCGAGGGTCTATCGGAAACAGCCTCTCTGCCCTATCGGGTAGGGGTAAGGTCTGCGTACACATTACCCTCCCCAGACCCCACCTGGTGGGATTTTACTGGGTAGTTGTTGTTGTTGTTGTATACTACACTTAAACATTGGGCAAACTTTGAAGAATGAATGTGTATGTTGTTCAACTCATGTGAACTAAACACTGTATATTTTAACGTTGATGCATAAAGTAATAGATTTTTCTAAATATTCAATCATTATTATGAGGTGGAAAAAAAACTTATGAGTTCAAGTCTATATTCAAAATTTATTTTTTGTTCTTTACGAATTTTTATTGACAGATGTAAAATTCACGTGCAACGCACGTATACTAAAACTAGTAGGGATAAAAATAGGGATTTACATACAGTGTTCATCGACTTAGAGAAGGCTTACGATAAAGTGCCGAAGGAGGTTCTGTGGAGATGTTTGGAGGCTAGAGGTGTTCCTCTTGCATACAATAGGGGGGCTATTAAGGACATGTATGATGGAGCTAAAACTCGGGTGAGGACAGTGGGAGGGGACTCGGAACACTTCCCAGTTGTAATGGGACTGTTATTACTTGTTGTTGCTTTCGCTTCGGTTTTCTGATTGCATTACTTAGTATAGTCTTGTATTTTCGCTTCGATTTTCTGATTGGTTTGCTTGTTATTGCCTTTCCTTTTATCATTCCTGAACCAAGGGGAGTGTTGTGAAGAGCGTGAAGCGAGGAAAAACGACAACCCCCATTTCGCTTAAAGCGAGAAGCGAGAAGCGAAGCGCTCGTTTTGTTGAAGTGAAGCGGAATTTAAAAAAAATTAAAATAAATACTGCATAGACAACACATGTAATTGTAAGCAAATGTTCAATACTTCAAAGTAAAAACTAAAGAGTAGCATCAATTAAAGCACAAAATGAGCATCTTATTCTTCTACAAGATTCTCAAATTCTTGTATTCCACTATCATTATTATATTGCTCATCATCTTCTTCAACTTCTTCTTCTTCTTCATCAACTAGGGACAAAGTATATAAAAATTAGAGGAAGGCCAGTAATTCTCAGTTAAAAACTGGGCAGAGAAAGAAGAACCCAAGGATTGGCATCAGTTCTGAAAAAGAACCGAAAGTAAGAAAAAAATTCGCCAATATTTCGCTGCTTTTTGGAAGTTTAAACAGTGAAAGAAAAAGAAAAAGAAGAAGAAGGAGGAAAATCAGAACATACCTCTTGAAGTCTTGAAGTACTTGAAGTTGAAGAAAAAGAAGAAGGACCCTAGTTGATGCTTTCAGATTCTTTCAGAAATCAGAAGTAGATGAAGAAGAAGAAGTCGACCAGACCAGTCGCTGCTGTTGGAAGAACCCTAGTCGCTGCTCTTTTTAATAAAATCTCGTCCAGACCAGTGTTTTTAATCACAAAATCGCATTTTTAATAAAATAAGGTTGGGACTCTGTTTTAAAACAGAGAAGCGGGCGCTTCTACCGCTTCGCTTCGCTTTCCCGCTTTTTAGTGGGAAGCGGTCGCTTTTCCTGACCTGAGTCGCTTCACCCTGCTGAAGCGTTCCCCTTCACGCTTCTCCTCGCTTCTCGCTTAAAGCGATGAAGCGGCGCTTTTTTAAACACTGGCCAAGGGTCTACCGAAAATAGCCTTTTTGCTTTCTTAAAGGTAGGGGTAAGATCTGCGTACACACTACCTTCCCCAGACCCCAGTTGTGAGATTACACTAGGTTTGTTGTTGTTTACTCCAAAAAGTACTACACAAACAAAAACCCATGAGGCCAGCCTATAATTGTGTATAAATTCAGCTTAATTGCACTTCAGCAATTTGGCAGTCACAGAACACAATTTAGAGAGTGAGATAACAATATAACTGGAGACAGGAGTAGAGCAAGCATAGTTCAGGACAAGAAGTTTTGAATAAAGTTTTGACGAAATTGTTATGATACTGCATGAAGTGGAAATTTATGTCTTACCTAACAGTTATTCGTAAGGTTAAAAACAGTGCTTGCTGATTTTTCATCCCTACAGGGAGTTAAGGGGACAAATTTGTATTGACAAGATACAGCGAAGTAATACAACTATATAAGTACTATAACAGGCAGCATCTATTTTCTACTGGTCAATCCATCTGCAATGCTCAACATAAACTTTTTTGTGGATAAGTAAATACTAGTAGAATCTGAGCTTTTAGCTAGAGTAGAAAAAAATAGAACGGATATGCGGCAAAATGTATTCACGGAAATTCACGAGTTTCTTAAATATGAAAATTACAGAAATAAAGGGGAAAAAGATGTTGGTACCAGTTGCCAGCATTGGGTCTACAACAAACACACGAGAACCTTCAGGAAATTTATCGGGCAACCTACAGGATGGACGAAAAGTGTTAGAAAAAATTTACCAGATAGTTCGTCGGCCAAAAGAACAAGAACACTCCAAGCTCAAATAAAATAGAAAATGGCGCAACAATTTGTACTTATCGTGGGAAGGCAGGTCATACTTCATACAGAAACCTAGTGCCACATTATACAATAGTAAGCAATAATCCAGCTTCAAAAAAGATACTTACTTGTTCAAGTATACAGAGGGCTGAAGTGTTTCTTCATTTCTGCTAATTCCTTAATTTGAAAATGAACAGAAAAATTAGCAATGGAAAAAACACAAAAAGAACAAATTACAGGACAATATTTGGAGCTTAGATTGACATAGTTTAAAGCATGATTGAAATTGAAACTTTGTTTCAAATGGCGGGGGGATCCCGTGCAAATAAGCGAGCATTATCATGTACATGAGACACGTATGATGCAGTCGGCTGTCATGTCATTATAAGTGCAATCACCTTAAGATTCAATCACCAAATTTATCTATAATTTATACTCCAATGAATATCCACACATACAGGTAAGGAAGATGAGAGATTATAGTTTCCAATGCTAAAAGATGATGATAAACTTGTCTTTACCCAGATGATAAGTTTTTGTTGCAGGAAGAATTGATGATGCATGCTCTGCAAGAGCCAGACCAGCTCTCAAGATAGGAACAATCTGTAAACCAAGGTAGTAGGTGCATGAATGACCATGGCGTGTCTTCAAATTAATCTTTTATGAAAGATTCTTTCTCACAAATATATATGATAAAAACCACAACCATTAGAGTTGTCTAGTTTTTAGGTTTTGTAAAAAAACCAAATTTGGTAACCATGTCATGAACCAATTGAGAGGCTGGAGAAGAAAGAGGCAATTTGAAAGGAATAGCCGAATATTTGGACTACAAAGATGCAGAAAATTTAAAGCTTACTGCAACAGGTTCCCTTGGATCAACAAACTCCACAGATGCAACACCCATTGGTGACTGGATCTCTCCTGTTATGATAGGCTGCAATGATGATGATAATTATTTTAATTCAACATTTGGCAAAGGAAGATTGTTCATTAAAACCATCAGCATCACTATAGCTTAGTTGTAGATTAGGTGGTTTTGTTTTACTTCAATTGCAAGAACATCAGAACAGAATAAGTCATGTTCAATTTGAACATCCAAATTTGCTATATTTAATGAATTTGGACTTCTGCATTAATAGAGTTCCATGCATAATAACAAAAACAGATATTCTCATAACTCACCAGCCAATCTCTTGATGCTTCATACATAAGCAATCTACCAAGTTCAGACATGGCATTCTCTACAAGAAAAATATCCAATTGACATATCTTTTGATCAAAAGGACAGCCAAATGAAATATAAATGCAGATATCAAGGTTGCATCGGACAAAAAGTGCAAGTACCACACATAGAATACATGCCTGAGATGTTCGTCCATGTCCTACATAAACCTCAAATATAGAGTAACGGGTAGGTGCACAACATTATTATTTAAGCCTAAAAATAGTTTTTAGGGTCAAAGCAATTAATTTTATGTTTTGGGGCACAAACAACCGATTTAACTCACTTTTCCAAATATAAACAATATAAAAAGGAATAGCAATTACAACAACAACAACAACGACCCAGTATAGTCCCACAAGTGGGGTCTGGAGAGGGTAGTGTGTACGCAGACCTTATCGGGGTAGAGACGCTGGAATAGCAATTGAACAAAATAATTGAGAGATAAAAGGAAAGAGAAATCTTGTTGATGTTAGTAGCAGTTTTTCTGCATAAGCTAAATATTGATTTGCCAGAAATAGAACAATGATATTCAACAATGCAATTGAGAGAATAATTGAGTAATTTTTAGACGGGGATACAATGTAAGGAAAAGGGTTTAAAATAGTATTTCTATCCGTAACTGATTGTCTTGTCCACCTCCTGCCCATTATTGTCATTTATTATATGCTGCATAATTGATGTAGCAATCGATGGCATAATAATGGCAAATTCCGTGTAAAATGATTCTTTCCTTATTCGTGATTATGAACGATCTTTCATAACAGGCCTGAGCCTTTTTCTTCATAATCAGTTTCGGGACTAATAGTTACAGTACTAATTTAGCTCCGAATGTATTTTAAACATCATTCTTCAATAACTTTGCCGACATGTGTTGTAATCTAATTTATTCACGTGGCAAGGTTATTTTCCACTAATACAGATAGTCCCCTCAATCTCCGGATAATCTTAAATGAATATTCGGGAAGTGGTAAGTTATTTATGGTGGGAATGCTTACCGCTCTTCCCGAGATTATAATGACGTGCTGCAGAAGTGATGAAACATGCGCCTCTTCATTCAATGCTCAGAACACGTGGCGTAATATGATTGGTAGTCCAATGATGATGTAACTCTTTCCTATAAATACGAAAACATAAATCCTCAAAACCTTCTTCTACCTTTGCCTTATTCTTAGAAATTCTCTTTTGCTTTTTCGTTCTTTGCTTTCAACCACCTCTTCTTCTCTTTCTGCTTTTTCGTTCACGCTTTCATCCTCTTTCTTCATCCCTCGCTTCCAAACTTCTACTCATCGTGATGTCATAATGGATGAGCTTCCTAACGTATAGCTCTAGTTAGGTCTAGGAGAAGAGGAAGAAGACTCCGTAGCCTTGGCTCCATGGTGAGTAGAGGCAACAGAGGGAAGTTCTTTCACAACTTCTTCTACCTCCAAAACTTCTTTTAAGGGCGAAACCAAAGCGAAAGATACCACAAAATTTTGGCTGAGCCTTTAGTCTCTGAAATTATACCACCAGCATTTTCTTTTGCAGCCGACTGTGCTGGGTGGAATAAGAAGATTAGTAAAAAGGATGGTTGTAACGGTCCAATTGACCATCTCCCACTTCTTCTCAAGGAGTGCCGTGGCAGATCAAATTTACCAGTCGAAGCTCCTCGTGAAGACGAATGAATAACCAACTATCGCGAAGGTTATTCATTCGTGTATACTTATCGTTCACCCTCGGGTTCCAACCTGCAATAGACTCGATAATCATAGAGTTTTGCCGAAACCTCAACTTGTGTCTTAGTCAGAGAGGCCCGATAATTTGGAGAGCAGTGACGTGCCTTCGATATTTGTCAAGTTTAGTTTCGGCGAATTTCACTCTTTGCAAACTAAACTTCATCATTCAATACCATTACAAATGAAAAGGCAGGAAAATACGCATGATATAGACATGTTTATTGTGGATCTTCACTTTCCAACCAAATGTTTTGGTAATGAACTTCCAAGTTCTTTGCTCCACGGGAGCGGAAGACAACATTAATGTAACCCAATCATGGAAACTCGGGACTTCCCCAAATATTTCTATGGTCATTGCAAAAAATTTATAAAATAGTATGTGGGCATTCTAAATAACAAAAGCAATTTAAGTGCAGTGAAGGAAATTACATCTGTGATTCCACTTCCCCGAAAATGGAAGATTATCATGTCTACCAATTATAGGGTAGGAACAACTACGAACCTTCTGTACCACACCTATCATGATCCTCTTCGAGATTGACGATAACTCGTTTGCTTTGTGTCGTGAGAGTAAATACACCAAGCACGAAAATTTTTGGGAAAGTTGAAATGGGAAAGATGGCAAAGAGTGAATTTGTCGAAACTAAACTTGACAAATAGCAAAGGCACGCCACTACTCTCCAAATTACCGGGCCTATATGACAAAAGACACAAGTTGAAGTTTTGGCAAAACTCTATGATCACCGGGTCTATTGCAGGTTGGAACCCGAGGGTGAACGATACGTATACACGAATGAATAACCTTCGCGGTAACTAGTTATTCGTTCGTCTTCACGAGGAACTTTGACTGGAAAATTGGATCTCTAATGACACTCCTTGCGAACAAGTGAGAGATGGCATGACTTGATAAGAGAAGGGTGTCCTTTTGACTAATCTTCTTATTCCACTCAGCACAATCGGCTACAAAAGAAAATTTTTGTGGTATAATTTTAGAGACTAAGGGCTCAGCCAAAATTTTGTGGTATCTTTCGCTTTGGTTTAGCCCTTAAAAGAAGTTTTGGAGGTAGAATAAGTTGTGGAAGAACTTCCCTCAGTGGAAGTAATGCCGCCTCTACTCACCATGGAGCCAAGGCTATGGAGTCTTCTTTCTCATCTCCTAGACCTAACTGGAGCTACTACATTAGGAAGCTCATCCACTATGACATCACGATGAGGAAAAGTAGCAGGGTTGGGAGAAGCAGAAGGTTTGGAAGCCATTAGAGAGATGAAGAAAGAGGATGAAAGCAATTAACAAAAAAATAGAAAGAAAAGAAGGTGGTTGAAAGCAAAGTACAAAAAAAGAAAGTAGAAGAAAGTTTTGAGGGTTTGCGGTTTCGTATTTATAGGAAAGACTTACATCATCACAAATCGTCCTTATGGAACAGTTACAGAGCTTGAAAGCATAGTACGAAAAAAGAAGGTAGAAGAAGGTTTTGAGGGTTTGTGGTTTCGTATTTATAGGAAAGACTTACGCCATCACAAACCGCCCTTATGGGACAATCACTTCAAAGTTACATATCCATCAGTGGATAGAAAACCGCTGCAAATCTCAATTAGACTACATTACGTGTCAGCAAAGTTATTGAAGAATAAAGTGTAAAATCGGAGCTAATATTAGTATCGTTACTATTAATTCCGGAACTGATTATGAAGAGAACGACCCAGGATTGTTATGAAAGATCGTTCATAATTACAAATAAGGCAAAAATCATTTAATATCAGATTACACGAGATTCGTCATTATTATGCCATCGATTACGCATCAGTTATGTAACGTATAATAAAAGCAATAAATGACAGTAACAGGCAGGAGGTTGACAAGACAATCCGTTACGGATAGAAATATTATTCAAACTCATATTCCTTACATTGTATCCCCATCTGAAAATTACTCAATTATTCTATAAATTACATTGTTGATTCTCATTGTTCTATTTCTCGCAATTTAATATTTAGCTTACACGGAAAAAGTGCTACTAAAATCAATAAGATTTCTCTTTCCTTTTATCTCTCAATTATTTTGTTCAATTGTTATTCCGTTTTATATTATTTATATTTAAAAAAGTTAGCTAAATCGGTTGTTAGTGCCCCAAAACATAAAATTAGTTGCTTTGACCGTAAAAACTGTTTTTAGGTTACATAATTATGACAATTGAAGGTGCCAAAATGCAACGTGGTAGGCCTAAAATCAGTCTTAGATAAACTATACACTCAAATTTAAAACCAATAAATTGAATATTCAATTAAAAATAGCTTTTGACAGTTATATAGATAACGGCAACTACACCTTAATCACAAACTACAATGACATTTATATATTATTAAAAATATAAAAACATTAACATTTAAAAGTCAGTTCCTTTACATTTAATTTCACATTTATCCATTAAAAGAGACACTATATTTCACTTTTAGGAATAAATTTCAAACAATGCAACCAAATTGTTTCAGCACATAATAAAGGGTGATGCAAAATTCAGCAACAGACTCAAACTTCACCCCTCAAATATTATCTTTCTTCATATCCAGTTCAGCATAATTTTTAGCAAAATTTAATTTCAGCATTAAAATCTTTTGAATGAAAAAAAAAGCTAAAATAAATTAGAAAAACTTCACATACTGAAAATGGGGCTAGGCGTCTGCTCATTTCGAAGAACCGAAACCCAGTGCTTTATCAGAGGATGTGGTGGAACAAACACCTAAAAAAAATCAATCAATTAAACTAACATCACCAATTAAATAAAATTTGCTTCTGTATTTATTTACTAAAAGCAACATTTTGTCCCATCATCAGAAAAAAGTTAAAAGAAAATCCAAAAACTAAGATTCCACTACATTATTTATCAAAACACAATATTCTGAACAACCAAACAAAGCGTTAGATGAGTGAACTTTACTTACCAGCATTCTATTACCACTCATCACTTTGTTCTCCGCCGCCATTGAACACACCACAATTCCCCTTCGTTTATTCGAATTAGAAATCTGCGCTCAAAATAACAAAAGCATAAAATTTATTTCATAGATTACTATCTCAAGATTACATGAATCTTCATATGTCATAATCTAGTCGTCCATTAATTAGTAATCACATGTTAAAATACACTGATAATATATAAAAATCTTTACAATGACCATGCAAAAAAAAAAAAAAAAAACTCGCAATGGGTATATACCCGTAAACAAAATCACAGAACATAGTGCATATCTCCATACAAATCAAATATATAAAAGGGGTAAAAGGGATTGTTAAGTGGGGTTAATTAAAGTACCTTTTTGTAGTGAAAATTGAGGTTTTGCCGATAGCGAGAGGCGGCAGGGGAAGAGGGTAGTAGTGAGAGAGAGGGGTCGGGGGGTAAACGGTAGGGGTGAGGGGTATAAATAAGGGAGTGGTGGGACGCCATTGGTAAAAAAAAGGTAAGCTGAGAGCTGAATAATTTTAGGTGGATTGGGTATCTTCTCAATTTCCTGGCTCTTCGGGACGGGTGAAGAAGGCTTCTCTACGAACAAGCTAACGGTGGGGATGCTCTTTTTTTTTTTTAACTTTTTTTTTGGTTTTTACCTTTCT